CCGAAGAAATTGAAATACTCAATATCAGGAACCAAAATTCCATTACAGTTCTCATGTGTCTAGTCTATACTTCACAAGTGCCATGTGAAACATAAAGCAAGGAATGTTGATAAGGTTTTAGAAATAAAACCTTATGTCTGCAAAAACATGATTAATACGTTCACCTTTTTTTGTGCAATACTCTAAGATATAATGAATCTTGATTTATAAGGAAAACCAGTACCATATAAAATTGGAGAGATTCGCAGGGATAAACCGATAACCTTTAATTGTCCTCTTAAAGAAGGTGGCATCTCTACTCTCACAAATATCACCACGAATAAATGGGAACAGCCATTAGGGACATGGGTCAAAGTACAAAGTATGCTTTTTTTTTTTTTCCCCCTTGGGAGTTTCCCCCTCCAGCCCCCAAGCATTCAGCACCCTCCTGCTGCCCTCAGGCAATTCCAACTTGCTGAAATCCTCCTCTTTTTCCTTCTCCAGAAATGGTTTGGTCCATTGAAATAAAACTTCTAGTCAGTTCCACTTTTCAGTCAAATCTCCAATTTCCTTAGGCTGGCTGATTTTGGCAGGTCCTAAGCAAAATGTTAATCTGATAATCTGATTAAATTAATGCAATGTAAATTGTAAATGGCTAATATCCTAAATTTCTGAGAGAATCTGAGTACTTGACAATCTAATTTGTAGAAGATAACAAAGGAAATGTATTGAACTAGAAACCTGAGTGTCCTGGTCACACTAAAATTCCTTTTTCTGCCCCTTCTCCTCCATTCTTCTTTCTTTTCTTCCTTCCTTCCTTTCTTCCTTCTTCCCATCCCTTATTTCTCCCTTCCCTCCTTCTTTCTTTCCTCTGGAGATGGTTTATAAGATCTGGCAGGCTGTGCGGAGGTTATATGCAAATATTACATCACTTTGTGTAAAGGACTTTAACATCCAGATACCAGGAGACAAGAATTTAAGAAATTTGTTCAGGATCACACAGTAGATAAACTTTATTTAAGGGCAACTGTAAGAACACATAAAAAAAAATGCACAATCTACTCCTCCAAGAATATATACATGTATATGCTTTTTTAAATTAAGTTACATGTGAATATTGATACCATTTCATGCTTAATCTTTAGCAGAAAGCATGGGATCAGCACGTGGAAATTAGACTAACCTTGAAATACCACTATGCATGGAAAATTCTGAGGGTATCTTGCATTAGCTTGGAAGAAAGCTGTTTTTTGGAATATTATAGAAAGCAATAAAAAGTAGAATTACTTCCAGGTCACTTTGTCTAAGAGGCAATCCACAGAAGTAGAGGTATCAAAGTCAAGCTTTGCCAGGCTTGTGGGTGACACACTCAGAGAAAACGGTAAACTGATCAGATAGAGACAAATTGAGAATACTGACTTTGAGAATCCTAACCAGTATCTGAAAGAGAGTGAGTTCTCTAATCACTATAAAATAGAAGAGAACAATACAATACAAATTTATGTTATAATAAAGCTTTATGTCATCTAAGAACATAATCCAAGTCAATAATATTTTGTTTTATTACTATCAAATAAATCATTTAGGACATTCCAATAAACATTGCTAAAAAGTATGTCACCACCAAGTAGCAGGTCATGCAGGGGAAACATTTGAACATTTGCTCAACAAATATTGTAGCAGACGGTTTTAAAAAGTCTGTTTTAAACTTGTTGAGGTTAAAACAATCTAGTAATACAGATGTATTATTATAAAGCATAAAATAAAGATACTTTTCATTTATTTCTCTGTCATTCTGTTCTTCTAATATAAAACTATAAACCTGGGGTGTTTGCAAGAATTTTTCGATGAATGAACAAATAATACTCACTTGCACTGTTTTGTAAAAGAAACATACTAAAATTATGTTTCTGCCTATGTGCGTATGTGGCTTTAACTTTATTGACATAGTTTTTCCTATAGTAAAAGGGATATTACAATTGATATTATGTTATAACTTGATTCTCTTTGATTTTTTCAAACTATGTCATATAACACTTTCCAAGTGAGAACATTCAGTCCTCCATACTTCTTTAGAATACTTAACTTGTGGTATCCTAAGTCATTTAACTCTTCTAGAATACCTGGTCTTTTCCTCAGGCTGGATTTTTTTACACATTTATGTACATTTTATTAGTAATTAGAGATCTACGCTCTTACTCTTACTATTGCTCTTTAATTTCTGTAGAAACTCAACCTATGTCTTGTGTGTTTAATCATGGAAACAGTGTATATTTATTCTCTATTATCCAGCAGAAATAAAATACTGAAGACTTGGAAAAGTTACTTTGTCCCATTACTTCTCATACATTTCACACTGCATGTTTGAGGGGGTAACAAAGTACATCTGAAGCCAAGTGGCTGAGTTTAAAATACCCTGTGGACCATAGTTAAGTATGTAAAAGTTTAATAAACTTAAATTTCCAGTTACTCTGGCCAAAAGTTTATGTTTAAGAAATATTAACTGGCCATCTTAAAAGTAAATTCTAGGCATTGGATGGGTGGTTAGGCAAAGCATTTCTCTGAGGATTCTAAGGAAAAAGGAAACTTGCTGGCATCAGAGTGAATGGGGTCATCCAAACAACAGCAACTACATTTCCATCTCTTTCTACTTATCCCCCTTGGCACTAACGAGACCCCTGTGTACAGAGAAATTTTGCAGCTGGGGAGAAGAGACAAGCATCTGACTAAGAAATAACACCACAACTCAGAACAACTTTTGGCCTTCTACGTTGATCTTATTAAATTTCAACTGTTTCTTCTGGAAAAATGATTCACTAGAGAAAAAAAAAATACTACGAAAAAGACTTCTGGTGCCATGAATAAAGCTAACAGCCTCAAATATCTTTCAGGTGGAGAACATATTCACCATTCACCATCAAATTGAGACATGAGCTGGTATGGGAAGCTTCCTTGGGCTTATGTAGAAACCAGCGTCATCTCCCTCACTCCCCCACCAAAAGAATTGCCAAAGTACCTAAACCATTTCTTTATAACAGATATGTTTAAATAAAAAGAGAAAATTATTTATCAATTGGTATAGACACAGGGTGAGAACCTTTATAAATAGTATTCAGGGAAACAAAATATGTTGCTGGAATAATAAAGTAAAAATACCATACTAAGTAAACATGGAGGCAGGAAAGCCATGTCTCTGCATTAGCAGGGATGGAGGTATTGTGTAGGAAGCAAAGCAAATCAGTTTTAGAGTTTCCATCAAAGTAAAATAAATGTGTATTTAATTTATAATATTATATATACACAAATACATATATACAAAATTTATATATATATATATTTTTATATATGACTGGGTGAAAACTGGTTTTCTATTTGTAACTGTGAGCAAAAGCAATCAATAAAACAAAAAATAAAACAAAAACAAATATAAAAAAACCCTGGAGATGATAGAGATTGATATTCATATTATAGGGGTTGATATTAACAGAATATATTAAAAAATGAATGTCTTTCAAAATTATACATTTAGTCACAAAAGCTATTTTAAGAGTTTGCATAAAGATTATAAAACCAACACAAATGGAGATTTATATATTATACATATAAATGTACATAAAAAATATATTTTTAAATTTCCAAGAATGACTACTCAAATTCAGTTCATGTTTTAGAAACTTACAATTGGGAAATATTGGTGCTGGGGATGAAATTTAGTGGTAGTTTTGTGCAAAGCCCTAAATTCAGCCCCTGTACCAGAAGAAGGAGGATGAGGAGAAGGAGAAGGAGGGGGAGGGAGGAAAAGACAGAAATGTACCATAAAAATGTTCTGAATAGTTTTTATCCAGTGAAGAACATTATTAATTTAAAAGGAAACACAAGGTACAATTTTTTACAGCTAACACCACTTGTGATATGAATGAAAATAAACATACTAAAATTCTATACTTTCTTCAGAATCTTTGTATTAATCACATCTGTTCTGAAGTTGTAAAACCATATTAGGTAAAAATTTTTTGTCACCAGTATACCTGAAAAGCTGATTAAATTCACTAACCATCTCCACTGACTCCAGAATTAAAGGACTACACATACAACATATATTGCATGTATTTCCAAAATGATTACTGTGTATCTTATATAGAATTTACTCTCTGATCTCAACTTAAGAACTTCTAGTTTAGAAGAAAGACGCTAGCTAAATAAAGTGAGACCTACTAGTTATTTCTGAAATTGGATGAATATGAGGAAATATAGCTTGTACCTCCATGGCACTGTAAACATAGACCATTCTCCTGGTAACTTGGAGGGGTGACATGGCAGTGGGGAGCAGAGTAGACAGACAACTGTGTGACTCTACTCATGTACCAGAAAGAACTTTGCATTATTCTTCTGTTATTTTTCCTCTACATTCTCTATCTATCACTCATTTTGGGGGAGACCCTACAGATGGCATTTTGCATAGTGTAAGAAGTGAAAAGAACCCTTACTTAATAAATATAGTTCTAAAATTCACTTAGAACCAAGACACTAGAGATTCTTATAAACTATGTAAAACAAACCTACTTTTGTACATGTTTTTAAAAAGCCCTTTAAATCAAAATCTATCTACTCAACTGTTGCATATGTATATTAAACAGTTTGAGGAACCTAAATTAATAACCACTTTCAAGAGCTGGTAGTCATGACTTGCTGTTAAAACCAGTATTGTAATCCTAGATGTTATATTAAGAAACTGCGGCTGTAGGAGCAAAAATACACAAAGCTATCTTAAATTTGCCCTGATTAAAACTCACAGTAAAAATTACCTGAGATAGGTGAGAGCCAAGTGTATTTTACATCAAGTTTATCAAAATAAGCTTATAAGAGTAGATCAATTTTGATATAATTGGGTAATTTGTCAGAACTGCTTATGATACAGACTACCATAAATATGCATTTCACATGAATGCAACTGACAAATGACAGCTGCTCAATGGAACCCCCAAAACTCGGTTCCACTGGTCTATATGAAAGTCACTTACCACATTCTATATTTCATTCTTTGTTCAAATCTTGACACTGAGAGTTGTCTTAATCTCCGAAACAGCTCCTGAAAAATAAAGATTATAAGTGTCTGCATTTATTTGTATGCATACAAATATTTTCCCAAAATAACAGTCAGCATTTTAGATATTTTCAACCTTTGCTGTTAAGACAAAGATCCAGAAACTATCAGCAAATTTGTAGATTTTTTTTTTTAAGAACTGAATATTTTTTCACTGAATGTTTTCAGGGATTAAAATGTGTCTATACTCATCTTTGAAAAGTTTTAAATTCGCATTTGTACTTTTGTCCCTAGGGTTAACATCTGTGTGGTTGTTGTTGTTGTTGTTTCTGTTTTTAAGGACTTATTTGAGGTGCCAAGAGGTGCTAATTAGATAAAAACAAACAAACATGAATTACATTTCAGAACTCAAGTGTCAGAACAGGTACCCATTGATTACTAATAGGAGCACAGAAAGTCACCAACAGGTAATTTCCGCCTGCCTCAGCATATTTTAGTATGTTAGAACAATTTTATTAAATAACTACCCAATATATTAGTCTGATGGAAAATGCATTAGTTTGTTCTAGTTTTTCCTACCCCTTATTTTATAAATGAAAGAATGAATATATGGATGCATTTTTAAAAATGCCAAATGATCACTCTGTTACGGAGTATACCATTATCATCCTTAGGAGGATCATGCTGTTTGCAGGGCTGATCAAATAGAACAAGAAACTAGAGGTGATTTGTTTCTGCTCAATTTACAAATCAATATAGAAAAAAAAGGTATGGGGCTAGTTTCTGAAGTCCAGAAACATCATTTGAGGGATTTACAATCCATTGAGGAAAACAATACGGACATCTACAACTAATTATAAAACATGACACAATGATATTAATTAGGAACAGGACACTCCTCTCATTCTTTTTAAGTTGAACAGGGTAGGTATCACTGAGGTATAATTTAAACTGTACATGAATGAAATGTTACTATGTTCAAACATGGAGCAAGAGAGAGGGAAAAATATTGAGATGAAGAAAATAGCATGGTTAGCGAGCAAAGAAAAAAGTGGGATGGAAGAACCCAATGAGAGAATTTAACCACACTCCAAGTGAGAGATCACAGTAGGAGAAAGAAGCTCATGTTTATAAGGAAAATTTTAATGACTTTAGATTAGTGGTTAATTGAGTTGGAATAACTATGGGAAATTCAGAACTGGAACTCAGGATGGATATCCACATTAGATGTGAAGATTGAATCATGTGCATGGGGTGGTAACAAAAGTTTTAGGAGCCTTAGAGAGCATATATAAAGCAGGTTAGAGAAAACAAAAATGAGAAGAAACAGTCAAAGAAGAAGAAAGGGAACTGAAAGAGTGTGTTTCAGATACCATGAGGTTAGAGTTTCATGAAGGGAGTGGCCAACATCTTCAAATGATGCATGTAGTTAACAGATCGGCTTCATACCAAGTTGAGCGCAGTCTTTGAGGGAACAGTTTCATTGAGATTGTAGGGAAACAAACCAGATTACAGATTGTTTAGGATGAATGAGTCAATGCAGAAAGTATTCCAAATGAGAAGGGCAATTACTGAAAAATCAGGCATCAGAGGTGGGGAGGCAGCTCTGGAGTAGAGAGCTTGCTGAGCATATGCAGTGTGAAGAAAGGAAGGAAAGAAGAAGGAAGGAAGGAAGGAAGGAAGGAAGGAAGGAAGGAAGGAGAAAAAGAGAGAGAGCACAAGAGAGAGCATATCCAGGACATTTTTCAGAAAGTCATATTGAAAAGTGAAGAAAAAGAAGGCAAATACATGAAAGAATGTTTAAACTATCAATTTAAATTTGGCATATTTTAATGTGATTTTTCTGTGATATTCATTGGAGAGGTGCATCAATCAAATGAGATTTTTCAGCCAGGAAAATTAAGAGATATCCTTGAACAACTAAGTTTCAGTATCTTAATAATCTCCAGGTTATTAAGAAAGAACACAGGTAATATGTGTGTTTTGAGAAAACTGCATTCATATTTTTAAAATATTTTTGATAAAATATGTGTTTTCATATTAAGTGGCTTACCAAGCTCTGAAATACAATCTCATAAATCTTTTAAAAAGGACAAAGCACCAGCAAAAAATAAAAATAACATATTTTCTACTTCTAAAAATTCTCTAAAATATGAACTCTTATCACAGGAAAAATAAAATATGATTTAACACAGCACTTGGGAAAATAAATGTTTTCCACTCTAACAATCCTCACAAATATTCCTGAAAATATTATTACATTTCTGAAAGATATGTAGCTGCTCATATATCAGACAAGCTGAAATTGACAATTCTAAAAAAATATTATCTAGTACTCTTCATTAATGTCAAGGTCATGATGGGAATGAAAGACTGAGGCTATGTCAAATTTGAGGACTGAGGTGATGTAGCATTGGATTCCGGGTCAGATTCTGATGCAAAAAAAAAAAAATTATATAACTGAGGACACTTGAGGAGGTCTATAGATTAGTTAATAAATTTTTTTCAATTAATCATCTGGATTCTACAAATAGTTGTGTAAGAAGTTAATATTTGGGAAAGATGGATGAAAACTATAAGGGAATTTTGTACTGTTTAAAAAGATATTTTGGTAAACCTGAAATTATTTAAAAGTGAAAAGGTTTACTAAATGCTTTATAGCTATAAAAGGAAATTTAGTGAAGAGTCATATATGCAGGGAATAAGAGAACAAAAGTAGACTATGTACTTGTCGGGACCATGATGTTTTTCTTTTTTAAAACATGGCCATAACCAAGTGAAAATAAAGAAATACAACAAGAATACCTGGTCTTAAATAAATTCCCCATTTACAGGTATAAATTAATTAAGAAAATAAACTAATAAAAACTCAGAATATAAGTCTTCCGTCTCCATTTTCATGTTATTCTCTCAGTATAAAGAGGTTGCCAAGGCCAGTTTTCAAGTTGCTTCTCATTCAATGTTGAGCATCTCCTCTATGAACAATACTTAATCATAAGGCAAATGTAGCCTCTGGTTATGAAAATGTTGGATTATTATACCTGTGTCCCATTAACAGTACTTCATAGGCTGCATAATGACAAAGAGGCAAGCAAAATAAAAGAATGAGGAGATATCTGGATTTAGCATCCATAAGACTGGACCAAAAGCTGTCACATGGAGAAAAGGAGGAAGGATAGGAGACAGGCAGAGTTATTTGAAGGTACCAGAGAATTCTGATGTGTACTCCTTGAGGCATAAAGGAGTTGGTCACCTCAAGTAGAGAGAAAATCCTAAGCAGAGGCATAAGACTAGAAAATGACAGAGTTGTTCTGATGACCCAACTCAAAAAAAATAAATAAATAAGGAAGAGCTCCAAGGGTGGAATTTCATTGAGTGATAGGATGTGAGGAAGACAGGTTTAAGGAGCCTTGGAGCTTCCAGCAAATTATGTGCTGCAAGTAAACACCAATGTCTCCCACACTGAAGGCCAGTTATATTAAATGCTGTTCAATCCATTACAGTTTACCAATTCAGTGAATTTCCACAGAATCCAAAGGATAAAGTACATATTTTAGGTGCTGTTACCAAAATGGTGTTGACTAGTTACCAAGAAACTGGATCTTAAAATTTTACTCTGAATATATCATTTTATAAACAACCAATTGCCATCTGCCTGCCCACTTCTAATAGGTAAATAATTGAGGATCATGGACAAGTATCAATTGTCCACGGAAATTTTGTAAAGTGAAAAATCCCTGTTAATTTGATAAAAATATCATTTTAGCAGCACTTTCTACGTTATTTTAGCAGCATTTGCCCATAAAACAATAGTCCCAGAATGTGTTAGCTGGTCTGATGTCAAAAAGTATTCTCTCATTAAGTTTATTAAACACTGGGATAAGCAAGATTAATCAGATTATTTGCTATAAGAGATTTCAGAACTTTAAGAACACTAATGAAAAATATGATATTTAATAGGGGAGATGAGATGCACTGTGATACAACCCCAAAAGAGATCTAATAGCTCAGCTGTCCAGAGAACACACACATTGGAAAACAATGAGGAAAATGTGTATTTGCTTGGCCTCATTTTAAGTATATCAGTCAATGGTATAGCTTAACAAAATGTCTATGAGGAAAGAGGAAATGTCTCTAAAATAATTTGATTTTTGTGTACCTATTGTTGTTCTTTTAACTTTTTCAACAAATGTCATCTATTGGAAAATGTCTTGGAAAATGTCTCTTCTTTTAAGACAGAAATTGTTAGGGGAAAAAGCATGATTCCAATCTCTTTGGGCAAAAAAATGCTATTGTGTCAACTGGAAAGCTGAATTTTATTCATATAATAATATAGTTGAATCATTTGAAATGATCAGTTAAATGATGATGTTGATACGAAAATAAAAGAAGCACAGTAATAGAAAATCAAGAATGTTAATCACTAGATAAATAGTCAAGGAAACAAAAATGCAAGAAATGGAGAAGTAGTTTGCTATGCATTTCACAGACCTATAGGTCCTATTACAAGGCAACCATACTCTATAACAATATAATGTCAGCACTTTGAAATTAGTTCATAATTTGGGGTACCAGGATCTAAAAAGAGTGGAGATTTGCCAAATATATTATGATTCTGTAGTATGTAAATGTTCAGCAGAAAGAATACATTGACCAAAAACATTAATATGTTAAATTTGATTTCAAAATGCCAATACATAGTCATCAGATTGTTTTATTAAGAAGTTAATATTATGTGATAGTTCTAAGGATATTGAAATTAAAGCTATTTCTCATATCTGCTGTCATATTTCTTCATCACACATATGTTAGCTAAGGTTTTCTTGGCATTTTCATTAGGCTATTTACATAATTATAATCATTTTTGTTTTACAGTCATCTCAATCAACAAATGGTGAGATTATATGTTCTCAAGTGGATGATCATAATTGCTAGACATGTGGCAGACACAAAATACTCTTAAGGGAAAACATCATGTATATCTCAATACAATATTTGTTTTGAGGATTTATAAGCTCTCAAAAAATACCCTTTTTCTAGCAGAG